ATAGTCATTAATGGTAGGTGGGTGTAGGGGGCGTGTGCGGGCGCGTGTACGTGCTGGAGGTGTCAGCACCGGTGGCCGGCCTCAGGCGCCGGGGGGGGGGGGGGAGCGTGAGTGTACATGTTTTGTAAACACAGCAGTGAGGCAGCTCTGGGTCCTGGTCATGTCTCATTGTTAACGTGCTGGCCGCACACTTGGCCTCCCCCCCCCTCTCTCTCTCTCTCACTCGCATGGTCTCTCTCACTCGCCATGTTCTCTCACTCGCCATGTTCTCTCACTCGCATCCCCATGTCTGTGTAACTGGCTGTCTTGTGCTCCTCTTCACCTAAAAGTAGTAGGCATCCTTGAGTCTCGGGAGACTATGGAGTTGCGCCCTAGTTGTCAATCCTGGTGCAGCGTCTGGTGTGACTGATGAGGCCAATCCGAGAGTGGCAGTCCATCTCACACCGAGCACAAACGAAGTCCGATTCTGGTCTGTCTTCCAGCTTTCCTTCTGTCTCTTTGCCTCTGATTCCTTGGCAAGTGACTCCTCGAACTTGGAGAGACCTCTTTGAGCAGACTGCCTCCCAGGCTGTACGGTCCTCTTCACCTAACAGCCGTTCTATTTAATAACAGTTGCCATAGTAGAACAATGTAGCAAAAGCTAAACATGACCCTAACGTTCTCAGGCCCTACATTATGCTAGGTTAGGTTGTATTGTGATTTTTGTCCCCCATCCCAATAAAAAATACCTACACACACTTAAAAGTTTTAATACATGTCTCCCACGAAGACCGGTGTCTGCGGCTGTCGCAGACCAATATGGCAGCCGTTGTCTGTTGCCGTAAGTCACAGGGGAAGATCACTGGACATGGAGTCAGTGACAGTAAGAGAAGTTAGGCTCCGGTCATGTGTCGAGGAGGAAAGGAACTTCAACCGTGCAGACCTGACAACAGTCACAAGCGGCCGGCTGGAGTTGTGTGGAGGTTGTGCAGCCAGGGAGGGGTGGTAAACAGGTTGTGTGGCACTTAGTTGTGCTTAGTTGTGGGGGTTGAGCTCTGGCTCTTTGGTCCCGCCTCTCAACTGGCAATATAATGGTGTACAAATTCCTGAGCCTCTCGAGATCTAAGGGTCTCTTAGAGCTTGTCTGTGTGTGTGTACTCACCTATTTGTGCTTGTGGGGGTTGAGCTCTGGCGCTCTTGTCCCGCCTCTCAACTGGCAATCAACTGGTGTACAGATTCTGTGTGTGTGTGTGTGTGTGTGTGTGTGTGTGTGTGTGTACTCACCTAGTTGTGTCTGCAGGATCGAGCATTGACTCTTGGATCCCGCCTTTCGAGCATCGGTTGTTTACAGCAATGACTCCTGTCCCATTTCCCTATCATACCTGGTTTTAAAATTATGAATAGTATTTGCTTCCACAACCTGTTCCTGAAGTGCATTCCATTTCCCCACTACTCTCACGCTAAAAGAAAACTTCCTAACATCTCTGTGACTCATCTGAGTTTCAAGCTTCCATCCATGTCCTCTCGTTCTGTTACTATTCCGTGTGAACATTTCGTCTATGTCCACTCTGTCAATCCCTCTAAGTATCTTATACGTTCCTATCATGTCCCCCCTCTCCCTTCTTTCTAGTGTCGTAAGGCACAGTTCCCTGTGCCTTACGACACAGGGAACTCCGTGTGTGTGTGTGTGTACTCGCCTATTTGTGCTTGCGGGGGTTGAGCTCTGGCTCTTTGGTCCCGCCTCTCAACCGTCAATCAACAGGTGTACAGTCTCCTGAGCCTATTGAGCTCTTATCATATCTACACTTGAAACTGTGTATGGAGTCAGCCTCCACCACATCACTGCCTAATGCATTCCATTTGTCAGCCACTCACTGTGTGTGTGTTCTCGCGTATTTGTAGCCACCTATTTGTGCCTGCAGGATCGAGCCTGGAGGCACAAATGCAGGGGTCCTCTTGGACCCCTGCATTTCTAGCCGTTGGTTGTCTAATGCAATGACTCCTGGCATAGTTCCCCGTCATACCTGAGTTTAAAGTTTTGAATGGAGTTATCATCTAAAACCTGCTCCTTTAGGTCATTCCATTTTCTCACTACTCTTACACTAAAGGAAAACTTTATATCATCTGACACACCTCCCCCCCCCTCACACACACACACCTCTCTCGCTTCCTCCCCCCCCCCCCCACACGCCTCTCCCTCTTCGCCTTTTCTCATAAATTCTTTTGTTTTTATTAACATTTAAGTACATCTGCATTCATGCATTTTTTTTATTAATACATTAGGTACATCTGCATTTGTGCAGCTGCCCTAGACTATATGAAGGAGTACAGTGTGTCACAAAGCTAGCTACGTGATGCTAAAAAATCCCCATCACACAGGATGGTTAGTCATACAGAGGCATGTGATGAGTAGTCTGCACTGACAGACTCCGGGTGCATTATGAGGATATCATCAACACAAGATTGAATAAGGTAGTAACTACCCAAGACTCCTTCCCAACTCTACGGACATCTCACTTGGGATTTCATTCAGGATTATATCAGAGAACGAAAATCAAATCCCTCAGGAGGAGGTATACGGATATACGCTATATTTCAGCTTTAAACTTTGACCTATCCCGAACACTCCTACGTCCGTTCCATCCCCCACACCACTCCCCTTCAAATTTCAGTGTGTGTGTGTGTGTGTAGTCCCAAACTTCTGTCCTGCAGCTTTAGACACACAAATTCCTATAATGTAGTGTGTGTGTGCACTTATTTAGGCGTTATATAGAGTACACGAGTAAAGTGTTTATAAACACACAGGTTAATGGCGTCCTTATCCACCTATATGTGTATCACCGCCCTCCAGAAAATGTTTTTCTGGTGTAGGAAGCTTGTGTCCCTTGCGTGTTGCGGGCCAGAGCGGGGACCACCACCTGGTTCCCTGTCATACCTGTGACAGGGAACCCTGTCCCTGGAACCCTGTTCCCTGTCATGTCCTTCACAACTCCTGCACCTGAAATACTGTCTCCTACGTGTCCGACACTAGCGGAAGCCTCCCGCGTGTCCGACACTAGCGGAAGCCTCCCGCGTGTCCGACACTAGCGGAAGCCTCCCGCGTGTCCGACACTAGCGGAAGCCTCCTACGTGTCCGACACTAGCGGAAGCCTCCTACGTGTCCGACACTAGCGGAAGCCTCCTACGTGTCCGACACTAGCGGAAGCCTCCTACGTGTCCGACACTAGCGGAAGCCTCCTACGTGTCCGACACTAGCGGAAGCCTCCTACGTGTCCGACACTAGCGGAAGCCTCCTACGTGTCCGACACTAGCGGAAGCCTCCTACGTGTCCGACACTAGCGGAAGCCTCCTACGTGTCCGACACTAGCGGAAGCCTCCTACGTGTCCGACACTAGCGGAAGCCTCCTACGTGTCCGACACTAGCGGAAGCCTCCTACGTGTCCGACACTAGCGGAAGCCTCCTACGTGTCCGACACTAGCGGAAGCCTCCTACGTGTCCGACACTAGCGGAAGCCTCCTACGTGTCCGACACTACCGGAATCCTCCTACGTGTCCGACACTACCGGAATCCTCCTACGTGTCCGACACTACCGGAATCCTCCTACGTGTCCGACACTACCGGAATCCTCCTACGTGTCCGACACTACCGGAATCCTCCTACGTGTCCGACACTACCGGAATCCTCCTACGTGTCCGACACTACCGGAATCCTCCTACGTGTCCGACACTACCGGAATCCTCCTACGTGTCCGACACTACCGGAATCCTCCTACGTGTCCGACACTACCGGAATCCTCCTACGTGTCCGACACTACCGGAATCCTCCTACGTGTCCGACACTACCGGAATCCTCGTACGTGTCCGACACTACCGGAATCCTCCTACGTGTCCGACACTAGCGGAAGCCTCCTACGTGTCCGACACTAGCGGAAGCCTCCTACGTGTCCGACACTAGCGGAAGCCTCCTACGTGTCCGACACTAGCGGAAGCCTCCTACGTGTCCGACACTAGCGGAAGCCTCCTACGTGTCCGACACTAGCGGAAGCCTCCTACGTGTCCGACACTAGCGGAAGCCTCCTACGTGTCCGACACTAGCGGAAGCCTCCTACGTGTCCGACACTAGCGGAAGCCTCCTACGTGTCCGACACTAGCGGAAGCCTCCTACGTGTCCGACACTAGCGGAAGCCTCCTACGTGTCCGACACTAGCGGAAGCCTCCTGCGAACGCTGCGTCAAAGGAAGCCTACATAAATCCTTTCCATCTCTCGACCCATGTTAACGCTTTTCAACATAGTGTGCAGCGCTGCGCGAGTGCTGAGGAAACATAGTTGAAATAGTTTGTTGATGCTGAAACACTAAGTTATCACGCGTCAGCGTTACAGGAGCCAAGGTGAGAGGGAGACAATTGTTACCCTCGGCGTCACCCCCCCCCCCCAGGCACCACACCGACGCCAGACTAAAGTCCAACAGTCCCCCCGTGATTTGCTTCACGGGGGGGGGGGGAGGGGCGGACTTGCTTCACGGGGGGACTCGTCTCCTTTCTTCATAAACATGTCCTTATGACTATATGCATCTCCAATTTAAGAAGCATTAATGAAAACACATTTGTTTACATTTAGATGATAAATTTGTGTTAGAATGTATAACATCGGAGTTCAGATAATTTGTTGCCAGTGATGTATTTGGTTATTTTTATATTTTGTGTATAAACACAAATGAATAATGTGAGATCCTTGACATCTAGATTCCTGTACTCCTCTCGTCCAGTAAGTAAATTGTCAATATCATTAATTTTACTGTTTTAACCTGCCGTAAATATGAACTATTTTGTACGTAAATGCTTTCAATGATTTATTGTTGCTCTTTTGTTTTCTACTTTTCTAGGGAATATCTTCACCCTTACGTGTGACCCTTGTGTTCTTGTCCTCAATTTTTTTTAAATATGTATGTGTTCGTGAATTCATATTTCTCAATTTGTCTTATTGCTGTGTATTGACCCAGAGTGTGTGTGTGTATCCGCAGGGGTGGTGTGGCACTGTGCCTGAGTCCCCAGGGGCGCAGAAACGGAGAGGCACTGATCCGCTTCATCTCGCCCGAGCACCGCGACATGGCCCTCAAGAGGCATAAGCACCACATCGGCAACCGGTACATAGAGGTGTACAAGGCCACGGGCGAGGACTTCATCAACGTGGCCGGCGGTGAGTAGGTCACGACCCCCCGTCACCCACCCGCCCTAACCTCACCTGCTAGGACAACGCCCCGGCAACCCGAGGGAGATTGCGATCTTAAAAATGACACAGTTGACTTGAGAATGGTCCAGGACGGACCGAAACGTCGTCGTCCCTTCATTTTCTAGTGTGCGGATTGGTCAGCACGTTCTTAAGTTATTTGCTAGGAGTCTAGTACTGTAGGTGTGCTTTTGGTAGGAGATGGTGACTAGTGGAGGAGGATTAAATTGACTTCCAGTGGTATTTTTTTTAATCGATGAAGCGTAATTGTATCGGCAGCTTCGGATTGCTATTTTAAATTGTAAATTTGTTTTGCCGTTATGGAATCCTGCTAACAATGCTCAGAAAAAAATTAATATGGGTTGGCAGGTCATTGTTAGTATTGTGGTGAAGTAAAATGACGAGACGAGTTCGTAACCATGTATTATATTCCCTGGAACTACTCTTTTCCACAAGTGTCTGTAAATGAGAAGAGACTCCCATATAACGTACGTTTTCTCTATCAGATTTTTGCCCATTTTCTATAGTCATAGTTTCGTTTCCCTCTGAACTTTATATTCATAAATATAGTTAATTTTAAGTTTATAAAATTAGTATCTTTTGCAAAATTATTTTGATTTGTTACCGGGAGGCGAGATATTTACTCTATCGCAAAGTTGGCTTAATTAGCAGGTGTAAGTAAACTTTAACATGATTGAGAAGTGTATAGCCAGAGTAGCAACAGTAGGCTGTGGGTCTCTGGAGTTAGACAAGAAGAGCAACCCCTTGGATGTCTGTCGCTAAAGGCAGGAGTGTGTACGTGTCTATGCTCACCCATTCGGCTACTAATTACCGTACCGTGCTTAACCTTACTAAATTTCCGACATTGATGCCATCTACTAATAAGGTGGTGTGTGCTAAATAATGGAATTGTTATTATGGGGGAAGATTTTGAGACAATCGTAATACCTCTGAGAGTGTGGCCCTTTCCACCAGTGTGGGGTGCGTGAGGCCTGAGTACCAGTGTTGACGCTACCCATCACTACAATCATTTAACAACCCCATTGAACACAGCAAGTTGTTGGCCTGAAACTCGCACTTTTTCAGGTAAACACTTGCTCATTCTGCTAAGTTTGATACTTACAAGTGTTTGATGCAATTTGGTGGCAAAGTGTAGAACATTGGTGCTTGTGGCAGTCGTCCAGTCAGTGAATTATCTCGTATACATAGTTTATTTGATAAGGGTCCGTGGTTACACGGAGGTGTTATCAGCAGATCAGCGAGGAAGGAGGAGCGGGGAAGTGTTGGGTCGGACCGTATGCAACACCACACAACCTGGAAATAAAGCTGAGCTTGATAGATTGAAACGGATGTGATCGGCTGACTTAAGCTGCCGGGTATAATCGGGCACTTTTAGATGGGCAACCAGGTAATTCCATGGCTCTCCTTGTGTCTGCCGATAAGGACAGCGATAAGGGAAGTGATAAGGGGAGCAGGTAACGCTGGGAGTGAGGCCCTCGTGCCCAGGGGACTAGTTGCGTGGCTGGTGTTGTGGTGCGCGCGAGTGGCGGGTGAGGCTGCTCTTTCACGCCTCCCTAACCAATTCCTGGCGGGGTTATGGTGGTGGTGTCGCGTGGCTTCTCTCGCTCGCTGCTGTTGACCATGTTCTGACTTGCAGTGAGGAGCGTGGTTGTGGCCCCTCGCGATAGGGGAGTGTGGCGGCGGCTATAAGAGGGGTCCTACAGTGTCGCAGGACACACGGGTCGCCGGTGTCACAACCATTGCGGTAAAAAACTAATCTTGCATCTCGCTACTGAACCACCGCGCGGTCCTATACCCACCGTGGCTGGCGACCTTGCCAGGACGCGCTGCACTGGTTGATACAGTAAAGTTCTCGCTGACAACTGCGGGGGGAAAAGGTGGTAGTGCGGGTAATGTCTACTGAGAAGAGTCACAGAGGACGTGGGGGAAGCCACCCTCCGCCCCCCATCCCACCAGAGACCATGTCCATGAACATCCACCTTAACATGCAACACGCCGCCATGCAACAAACTATGCGCATGATGAATGTTATCCGTGAGTACCACCCCCGCCCCCCCCCCCCCCCCTCCCCGCCCCCCTCCCCCCCCCCTCCATGGGGTAGGCACCATCTACCTCCTGTACCATTAACTATGACCATTCATTACTCACCGCTCTCTACTAACAACACGTGTGTGTGTGTGTGCATTTACTATTTGTATCTGCAGAGTCGAGCTATTAGCTCTTGGACCCCGCCTTTCTAACCAATCTATTTTTTCTGTAATATATATATATATATATATATATATATATATATATATATATATATATATATATATATATATATATATATATATATATATATATATATATATATATATATATATATATATATATATATATATATATATATATATATATATATATATATATATATTTCTATCTTAACGCGCGTGCGCACTTCCCCACGAAGCTGCTCATAGCAGCTGTCTAACACCCAAGTACCTTTTCACTGCTAGGTGAACTGGGACATCATGGTGAAAGAAACTGCCAATTTGTTTCTGCCTCTTCCGGGAATCGAACCAAGGCCCTTAGGACTATGACCCTCCCCTCTACTTTGCGAGAGTATAGTATGCGGCTGACGTTATTCTATTTATATGAGCCTCTGGAGTTTAATTTGGTGTTATGTCCACTCTCGGATCTTTTTCTAGTCGGTATAGGGAGGTAGTTTCCCGTAATCATGTATCGGGCTTCCGGTCTCCTGACTCCTGATCTTATTTTCAACACCTTACACTTCGTGTTGAACTCTGGTAGCCATTTCTGGAACCAGCTCTGGAACCTGTTCAAGTCAGACTGGAGAATCTTACAATCGTCAATCGTTACAATCTCAACCGTCCTCATTAGTTTTGCATTTTGCATCCTTATTAGTTTCCTCATTGTTTTGCAAACATTGACATACAAGACTCAACTCTTGCAGTCAAGTTATTTACATAAATGAGGAATAGTATGGGTCCCAGCACCGATCCTTGAGGCACCCCGCTTGTTACTCTACGCCAGTCCCACTCCTCGCCCCTCACTGTCACTCTCTGACACCTGTCTGTTAGGCAATTCCTTACCCATGTTAGTGCGTTGCCGCCTACGCCTGCCTACCTTTCAAGTTTATATAGTAACCTCCTGTGTGGTACTGTATCGAAGGCTTTTTGGTAGTCCAGAAATATGCAATCTACCCAGCCTTGTCTGTCTTGTCTTATTTTCGTTATCTTATCATAAAACTCCAGGAGGTTCGGCAGGCATGATTTCCCTGCTCTAAAGCCATGTTGTTGTTTACTTACAAATCCAATTCTTTCTAGGTGTGCAACCTAGAAAGAATTAGTCTTAGAATTAGAATTAGTCTAGCTAGCCTTAGCCTTATAATTCTTTCAAGTACTTTGTAAGGGATGCTTATGAGCGACACTGGTCTCTTAAGTACTGCTTCTCTCTTTCCTTTCTTGTAGATTGTTACCACATAAACCTTCTTCCAGCAGCTGGGCAACACCCCACTTGTAAGGGACTCGTTAAAGATTAGCGCCAGAGGTATGCTGAGGGCCCGTGCTGCTTCGTTTAACATCCATGGTGATACTCAACAGGCCACGAAGCTTTAGCTACATCTAGTGATGCTAGTTGTATTCCTATTCCTCCGTTGTTACCTCAACACTTTAAAGTTTCTCTTCAGGTCTGCTTCCTCATGTAGCTCCGGGAGCTGTTCAGGCTCAGTAGTGAACACTCCATGGGAGCTGGCATTGAGCTCCTCACAAATGTGTATTATTTTCCGTATACTGGCCTCCCGTTTTTTGTAATCTGATCATGGTCATTCACTGTCATTTTCCTTCTTATATGATCATATAGGAGTGTCGGTCGTGTCTGCTTTGAAGGCAATATAATTTTCAGTTTTTCTGCCAATCTTATTATGTTTATGTAGTCATTCCTGGCCCTGTTGCATCCATTCCTGGCCCTGTTGCATCCATTCCTGGCCCTGTTGCATCCATTCCTGGCCCCTGTTGCATCCATTCCTGGCCCCTGTTGCATCCATTCCTGGCCCCTGTTGCATCCATTCCTGGCCCCTGTTGCTTCCATTCCTGGCCCTGTTGCATCCATTCCTGGCCCCTGTTGCATCCATTCCTGGCCCCTGTTGCATCCATTCCTGGCCCCTGTTGCTTCCATTCCTGGCCCTGTTGCATCCATTCCTGGCCCTGTTGCTTCCATTCCTGGTCCCTGTTGCTTCCATTCCTGGCCCCTGTTGCTTCCATTCCTGGCCCCTGTTGCTTCCATTCCTGGCCCCTGTTGCATCCATTCCTGGCCCCTGTTGCATCCATTCCTGGCCCCTGTTGCATCCATTCCTGGCCCCTGTTGCATCCATTCCTGGCCCCTGTTGCATCCATTCCTGGCCCCTGTTGCATCCATTCCTGGCCCCTGTTGCATCCATTCCTGGCCCCTGTTGCATCCATTCCTGGCCCCTGTTGCATCCATTCCTGGCCCCTGTTGCATCCATTCCTGGCCCCTGTTGCATCCATTCCTGGCCCCTGTTGCATCCATTCCTGGCCCCTGTTGCATCCATTCCTGGCCCCTGTTGCATCCATTCCTGGCCCCTGTTGCATCCATTCCTGGCCCCTGTTGCATCCATTCCTGGCCCCTGTTGCCACCATTCCTGGCCCTGTTGCATCCGTTCCTGGCCCTGTTGCATCCGTTCCTGGCCCTGTTGCATCCGTTCCTGGCCCTGTTGCATCCGTTCCTGGCCCTGTTGCATCCGTTCCTGGCCCTGTTGCATCCATTCCTGGCCCTGTTGCATCCATTCCTGGCCCCTGTTGCTTCCATTCCTGGCCCCTGTTGCTTCCATTCCTGGCCCCTGTTGCTTCCATTCCTGGCCCCTGTTGCATCCATTCCTGGCCCCTGTTGCATTCGTTCCTGGCCCTGTTGCATCCATTCCTGGCCCCTGT